GCCGCACGCACAGGATGATTTTATTTGAGAATTACTTATTCAGGGTTGATTTGATAGCAGGTATTCATTTGGTTTGCATTTGCTTGCGTTTTCGGCTATTTATCGATCAATGCGTAGTAAATTTTCGTTCGTATTGTTTTGAATCACGCGAGGGGCCGGCCGTGCGTGTTCAGCGATGCGTTCAATCATTCAATAACATACACTGGCCATGTTTCATCGATTCATACAAGCTTCTTTAACTATATTCTATGAGAAAATTATTTATGTAACATATCAGCAAGCTTTTTAATTTTAAATTTCCACGAAGCGTTATTTTGTAGAAATGGAAATTGAATAGAATTAATTTGTTTTATGGCTTCGATATTATATTAAACAATTCTTTTGACGATTGCTTTTTTATTTATTACCGTATTTTTTAATTTTCAAAACCTATTGCATATTTAATATATTATATATATATATATATATATATATATATATATATATATACAGAGTCGGTACTACCTTGAATGCAACGCATGCGAAAAATGAGGGCGCGCACGCCAAGGGGCGCCAAAACCAGATTTGGATATGAAATTTATAATATAATTTTTTCAATATCATTCAAGAAATATATAATTTCTTTGCATCTTATACTAATCTCTGGACAATATTTTTAAAATACGTTAAAAATGTAACTTTAAAACAACAAACCGATAAACGATGGGAAAGTAAAGATGAATACATACAATTTGGCCCTTACTATATCAATTAGGAGAAGTTTGCGATGCAATTTTGAGTATTTGAAATAATGAAATATTAAATTAAAATAATCCAACATAAAGTACCAGTGTTATGTTTAATAATGAAAGGCTAGATTTTTTTGCTCCCTATGATTTGCTCAATAAAATAAATCGCATAAAAGACCCAAAATCAATAAATAAAATGTTTCAAAACCCAAATATTAGTAATTACGCATTAGAAATAATTCAATTATTAAAAATTCAAGATTATTCTTGCAAGCAATAAATAACATTAACATTTTTGGAGGTGTTAAAATGTTTAGATTGAAAATAAAAATTTAAAAATAGTGCGGTAGTGCGACTACGATGGGAGACATAAATATTTGTATATGAGCACCCGCGAATTACCTCGATCATCTAAATAAATTTAAAATCAATGTATTCTTGCGTTTTAGATTACATATATCTATTTTTTTGTGTACTAAATTTAGAAATATTAAAAAGTATTTTAAAAAATTAACGCAAATGCTTGTATCATTTTGATGATAAACTATTAAAGCAGTTAAAATAATAGGGGGAGCGCTAGAAAAATAATGGCATTCTGAGCGCAGAGGACCCCAGAGTCATACTCAAAGTCAGGCCGAAACGTGGTTATAGTGTTGAAATTATGAGCTTTCAGTGCGACCTAGAGCTTTGGTAAAATTGTGATCATTTTTCGGTTGTTGCGGTTAATTTTTAGTACTTTTCTTTATTTAAACTTTGGTACCGTAACCATGGATAATATTTCCAGGCATATAACATAATTGCACCAAGTTTTCAAGAATGAAGACGATTGTGAGCATCAAACTTTTAAAATCGGTGAACTATGACATTGAGTTCTGGGACACCTTTTATACATATATATATATATATATATATATATATATATATATATGCGTCTGTGACTACACATATAAATACAAATAAACATACAAGTTTTTCGGTCAAAGTACATTCGATTATTCTTTTTTGCTGTTGCTTAGTACACATGCCCTGAACATATCCCGTAGTTTAGAGCAGGGCTTCTTAAAGTGGGGGTCGCGACCCCCAGGGGGGTCGCGAGACTACTAAAAAGGGGTTGCAAAGATCTGATACTTTTCAATCATTATAAACAAAATTTTAAAATTAGTATTATTGGGCCGACTATTTTCATGATAATTTATGGCTTCTCAAGCTATGCTATTTGGCTAATATTTTTGATAAAATCAATGATATGAATTTATCAATGCAGGGAGTCTGCGTTAATATGTTTATGTTAAAAAATAAACTTGAGGCCTTTGTTAAAATAATTCTTATATGGAAAAACAGAGTAGAAAGTGGATCGCTCGAAATGTTTCCATTTACTGACGAGTATATAATTAGTAACAATATTTCAAAAAAAGATACTCCTATAACAAAAATTATAGTTAATCATTTGAAGAATATGAAAGTTCACATGCATAGGTATTTTCTCAATGATATCGATACACAACAATGGATTTGCAATCCATTTTCAATTGAAATGGATAAAAATTAATTTTTCAAACTTAAAAGCACAAGAAGAATTTGCCGAATTAACAATATTAAGAATATTCCCTACTATCGGAAATGGCAATAAACAAATTACTGCCATTTTGTGCAACATATTTATGTGAATCAGCCTCATTTATTACGGTCTGCACTAACTTAAATTGAGCCTAGATTTAATTATTTGTGTAAAAATAAACAATCACATTCATCACATTAATATTGTTTGATGTTTATAATAGGTTTTCATTAAAAAATGTTACAAAATTTTATTTTTTCTATTGAATATGTAGATATAGTTTTATGTTTTCTTATAAAAAATTTGTTACAAAAGTTTATTTTTTCTATTGAATAAATATATATATATATATATATATATATATATATATAGTTTTATGTCAAAGTTTCCAATTAAATATAACATGAATGGGTATATATATTCTTCAATCCTTATTTTATTTACATTGTAAAATAGTGCGATAACGGTTAATATATATTTATTATTTGGAGGAGGGGGTCGTTTAAAATTTCCTAAGCTTGAAGGGGGTCGCTATATAAAAAAGTTTAAGAAGCCCTGGTTTAAAGACCATAACATACTTTGTTTGTTAGAGATAAGATTCTTTGAGAACTTCTTTTCGTATAAAAATGCGGCAAATAATTGACAATAATTAAGCTTTGGTTTCGTTATCATATCTTTAAACCATTATCAACAGGTTTGACCATTTTGATCAAGTAAAGATCGTAGCAATCACGACGTTTTTGTGTTGAAAAGTTTTTCTGTTAATGAAGTTTCCTGAGTGATACTGACGATTTTTCTGACTCAATATCGGATATTTCGGAACAAACATTGCTGACATACATTTTACACCCAAAATATATATAAAAAAAATTGTATGATACGTGCCAATTGATTTTTCACGCTTTTTGGTGATCTTGTAAATTTAACAGATGATAACCCATGATGCATAATATGTATATTGTGGCAATTATAGCAATTACTTCTATGAATGAAGTGTAAGTTAATAGAAACATGAATCTATGTTATCTGCACTGCGCTTTTCACATATTATTTTTTAATCTTTGCGTTTTAAATAATAATAATAATGAATAAACTTAATTAATATTATAATTATATAATTATTAATATTATATTATATAATTATTAATAATAATTAATAAACATATTCATATAACTAATGTAATATTATAATTATTTTACTGTTAAACTGGTTAATAATTTCTATGTGTTCTAATTGAGCCATTTATTAAAACACATTCACGAAACAACAAACAAAATGTGTACAATATTTTTCACTTACTATCAATATTTTGCATACAAAAAATGTGAAAATACGTTATAAATAGTATAATACCCAAATTGGATTAACTTTTCAAACTTTTATCGAAGTCAGTTTTTATTTTTGCATTTTGTGTGATCTATTTGTTAAAAGGAAAACTCTTTTTTATAACGTAATATATTCTAATGGATATACATAAAATTCCATATAAAGCGTAGATATCATGTCTCGAAGCTATTATCTATACTCCTATAAATGCTTTATTGTTGTAAGATTTTAAATATCCATTACTTGTCGGAAAATCATCATAAAGATTTCTTATTGATATAATATAAAAATGATAATAATTACATAGATATTGGCGAAATTTGAAAGTCATCGTTTTAGTTGAAGCATATCGCTCAAATAATCAGATTCTATCACTATGAAGACTTAAGTTATTTATTAAATAGAATTTCGTAAATCATTATCAACATTAAACCATATATATTCTCCGTATATCATACATTGGGCATGGAGGTAGCTATCTATTACGAGAATAATTAATCATTTCCAAAATATTTTTATACAAAACATAGAGATGACCTATATATTACAATACTAACTAAGTATCTTGCTTTTCGAGCAAATTAAGACCAAATTATCTGGAATGAAGCATTATATGAGCATAGATTAAGATTTAAAGAAACCAAGAATGTTAAGAGTGTTAGATGATATTGTATGCGTATACATGCAAACCAAATTTAATAATAAATAAACAGTGGCACTTGTTATGAAATCGATTGAATTGCGGTCGTTTTATTTCCATATATATTCAAATCTCAATTTTACTAATAAATATATATCATGTTATGGTAAAATAGATGAAGTAAACAAACCTATGTACAATAATCCAGCTTATTCAGCTTGCAGCATTTAAACCGCAAAGTTTAGATGCCATCGGTGCAGAGAAATATTCAGAAGAGTTCAAAATTTATACAATTACTTTTTATGTATTTTATAAAACTGCATACCTTAAATAGGATATAATCATTTCTACCCCATAAATTTCACTTTAAAAAAATCACTTACTTAAATTTCATGGTTCGTTAGTTTCATTATATATTTATGATTTGTGTTATTGATTAAAATGTAGTTTGCGTTTTAGCACTATTATAAATTTATCTAACACAAAATTTATTTGAAATAAAATGCTTATATAGATCTATCCAATGGAGTTAACTGAAGCAAAAAGAAAAATTAATTAATTTGGTAATTGTTAGCGATTCTCGGCGGCGCCTGTTTAATAACATTATATTTACTAAGTTAATCATAATACTATGAGATAAAATAAAAGGAAATAAGTAAGTTATTTTTTATGTTATACTCATAATCAAACATATTTTATATAAACCTAGAATATCAGCAAATTAGTATAGATTATATTTAAAATTACCTGTATGGTGCGGGATTCGGACATGTATTCCTTCTAGCCATTAAATTATATTCTTCATCGACGACGCCGCACTTAGAGATATCAGTTTCAATTGGTGGTTGTCCTGACCGTCCGAACTGTGACCATCGACGTCCTATCATCCCGGTCCCAACTCCTGCAGGATCATCAAATCTGTCGAAACTTTCATCGCGTTCAAAACTAGAAGATTTGTCTCTATCAAAACTTCTGTCTATGAGAAGACTGTCCGTACTGATTTGGTTTCTTGTTGATGCTAAGTCACACTTCCGATTGATAGTTTCCGCATTTTCATCCGCGAAATTTGTCGAACTTTCACTCGGTAATTTCCGGTAGCATAACAAAACGGGGGTATCACCGCCCCTTGGGCATTCTTGTTTCTCTACATTGGTTCTCCAGTCGACTCCGCCGTTCTCTACATCATCCGCTATAGAAACGAGATCGTCCCTTTTATCTAAATCTTCTGCTTTCGTTTCGTCTGTAGTAAAAATCAATTCAATATCATCGACGCCATCTGATTCATTCCCAGAAGACGCATTATCACGATCTCTCTGTGGAGCTTGTAAATGACTTGTGTCGCAAGGGTCACAGGGCGTAGTTGTTCCATCGCTGAAAACAGAATTATCTCCATCAGACATAGACTGGAGACTTAAAGCATCCACGTCCAGGTGCAAATTATCTCCTGAAACATTTCGGGCCTGATGTCGGGACTCTTGTGACGGCACATTATCGTCGCATGACATCGCTGTTTCCTCAGGCGGATTATCATTTATTTCTGTTGTCATTTTTTCAACTACGTGTTCCTTATCCCCATTGTCGTCATCATCAGTGGTCGTACTATTTAGTCGACCTGATCTACCAGTGGCAGATACTTTTATCTGCACATTTATACTAGAAGACATTCTTTTTTTGCGTTTTTGTGAGCAAAGAGGCGTTTTATCATTCAGCGTATTTATCGGCGGTTTTTCTTTGTTTTCTTGTGTTTGACAAAAGCTGTCAGTAGTGGCACGGCTTCTGAGTTCTGCAAGTTCCGATTTAGCCTGCTCTAAAGCTTCACGCAGTGAAACCACGGTCTCGTGAAGTGCTCGTACAGTTTCTAATGAACCATGTTGAGTTGGTCTTGATGCAGTTGCTTCAGAAGTACTGAGAATGACTCTAACGCCGCCGGCGCCTTCTCTAATCGTTTGCTCGCGGTCCATGACGTGCCACAGTTGGCGAGATTTGATGCACCATACATTTCTGCGACGCGATTACGAATTCAAAATTTATTCAATTTTTAGTTTTATAAATCACAATTGCTCCGCAAATTTTAGGTCTTGGTTATTTTTAAATCACATGTTTCCCTACCAATAAATACCAATTATTGCTAATTACCCACTATGTAATGTTATCCGCGACCAAATTATTATCTCACTACTATTCAAGCTAATTTTTATAATGTTTATTTAAAATATAATCCTGTGTTTAATAATCCTGTATGTGTGTATTTATTCTTATTTCTCATTAAAAACCAAACAAATTACAATATTATAGTATTAACGGTGGAGCGATCGTGTACATTGTACGCCGTCGAGCAATAAAATACTAATTGTAAATATCAAACAACAAGCGATAAATTTACGAAATCAGGGGCGAAATAATATTTATAACATTTTATTCAAATATTATATGTATATGATTTTAATAATTAATTCAAAAATACATATTTTTTAACGAATATGTGGAGCATTACTTTCTACTATTAATGTCAACATTTTTTCAATATTTTTTTTGAAATATGACACATTCAATAATAAGTAACTGAATTTATATATATGCAAAGATTTAATATATAAGAAATGTAGAAATCAATTGACACGATGATTTAACATAAATCACACGTCATACGCGCTGCTCATTCATGCACGTGAAATCTGATAATCATGCGCTGTAAACTACACAATTTATCTTCTAATAAAACACTTTCTGCACGCAATATCAGTTGCGCCAAATGATAGATACTTTGCACAAGTACTAAGAGTAGCAAAACACATTGATAACATCACACAAGCTGCCGCGAATGATCTGTTTAGGAATGAACCTTACGTGTGAATTCGCACTTGGTTCTGTTAGAATTTAGTATTCGGTAAACACGATATTTGTAATTTCGTTTGAATGTAATATAAAGTTCACCGTTTGGAACTATTTAATTACTTTTACGAACTATGACATGATAAGATTTCATGCTGCTCTATATCAAAACTGACAGTATAATAAATGTTTTGTGTTTTTTCGGCCCTTGTATCACTAGGAATTGTGCGGGATCAATAAAGTTAGTCTGTAACGCGCGGCTGTTCGATGAGCGCGGCACGCGATGCCACTACGTGAGTACACCGCGCAGCGTTCGCTCGCTTACTGAACACACGATTTGCTTTCAATACGCGCCGACCGGAGCTGTTAGTGGCCAAGAGGGGCCGTTCCTCAGACTTCCGACCGTATCGATATTACAGCGCACACCACTGATTTAATCATTTCTCATATTAATACATATTTATATATCATAATTTGCTGCCATTTTTCATTATATTAATATAATTTAATAAATAGTGATGGTATGCAATACTCCAAAAGTATTGTGTTTTAAGTTGTTCGAAGTCTTAACATAACTAGTAGTGTATGGTATCGAGTCATTATAAATTTTGTAACATTACCTAATATATTTGAGAATTATATAAACTGAATTGCAAAGTTGAAATTATTTTATTTATTATATAGTTATTAACTTTAGTTAGAATTGTAATTAAAATCTAAATTATATTCAATATACAAAAAAAAAATGAAAAAAAAATTGAAACAATTTTTTTTTCCAGAACAATTATTTTGTTAAAACAAGCAGAAAGTTCTTTGAATCATTCAAATAGCACGCTTAATTCTTCAAAAACTGCCATTTTTGCACATTTAGCTCTGTAACTTTGAAATGGCTGGACCTCCTTTGCCAAAAACTAATAACCTCTTCTACCAATCATTACCAATTGAATGTTTTGTAGATCATTCAAATCGGATACTTCGTTCTCTCAAAAACTCGGTTTGTATTTTCTGCACTCTTTGCTCCGTATCTCCGTAACGGCTGGATTTGCTTTTGCCAAAAACTAATCAGCACATCTCCCTATCAATAGATATCGAATGTTTTTGAACCATTCAAATCGGTTGACCCGTGCGGCCGAAAACGTGGACGAAAAAATGCGAACGTACAAAACACACACACATCCATTTTTTCTGAAGAATACCAAAATGATCAGAAACCTTCAAAACATGAAAATATGCATAAATTTTTATTTTCAATTTACGGCCCATTGCTATAACTACCCTACGGAAAGTTAAAAATACCTGGAAGTGTGTGGGCTTCATAGCACATCTGGAACTTTCGTTTCATATTTCTAAAGAATTGAATAGTTTCAAAACTGTTAAAAACATTGTAACTATTTAAATACTTGATTTTTTTAAATAATTGTAAAAAAAAACTAGTGGTACATGGCATCGTGCTTCTAGGTAAATTTCCGTACCGAAAATTAGATTTTTAAAAAAGATTCAAAATGTTTTTAAAACTTTTAGTGCAGTAAACGGAGCGTTTTAGGTCTGAATTTTTTTACTGTGCTCCGAATTGAATGAAATTTTGGAATTAGGTTCATCTTAGCCTCAAGTTCAAAAGTGAAAACAATTCGGGTTGCGCCATCACCTAAAAATGTCTTTTATAGTTTTTCAAAAAAACTAATACTTTTCAAGTTACTGGCCACTAAATGCATATATTCTTCATATATTTTTGGCGTTTTTCTTCGTTTTTTTGCAAATATCTCCTAAAATATGCATTTTAACGAAAATCATGTAATGAACAAAATAATGTCAATAAAAATCTTAATAAATCGGTATTACATAAAGTGTTCTAGGAAAAAAAAAGTTTTTATAAAACCGCGAGTTTTCTGAAAATAGTTTGTACTAAAGTAGTGAATCTGCTAGAATCCATCAAGATGTCTATAATGAAGTGGATTCTAGATGGAATGTGAATTACTTTAATTTTGGTGGAAATGGCGCTCATTAAACCATATGATTTAAAAGAAAAAAACTTCGTATATGCTTCTTATTTGCATGATAGCTCACTCATTTTACTCGCAAAAAACTTGTACCAGCACTCATTTTAAAGCTTATGTTGAGCACTATAAAATCCAATTTCACCGAAATGCATAAAATGTAAAACCTCGACACAGATGGCTATAAATACAACAATTAAATCTTGAAAGAAATAAAATACGACTTTGCTCTTTCAAATCTTGCTTAATATTTTTCCTAGAACATTTTATGTAATACCGATTTATTAAGATTTTTATTGACATTATTTTGTTTATGTCTAAAATGTATATTTTAGGAGATATTTGCAAAAAAAACGAAGAAAAACGCCAAAAATATATGAATCTTTAGTGGCCAGTAACTTGAAAAGTATTAGTTTTTTTGAAAAACTATAGAAGACATTTTTTTCTTATAATTAGTTCTTCTATCGATTTCCGACGTTATTTTGAAAAAATGTAATTACACAATTGTGAAGGAGTGTCATCCCCCCGGGGGGTAATGGCACAACCGGAATTGTTTTCACTTTTGAACTGAGGGCTTGAGGGTAAGATGAACCTAATTGCAAAATTTTATTCAATTTGAAAAACAGTAAAAAAATTCAGAGGTTATACCCTTTTTTCCTCTCCGTTTACTGCACTATTTGAACAATTAAGATTTGTGAGAATTTCGAAATTTGTCAAAAATCGACTTTTTTAAAAAATTAGATTTTTTTTATTTTTTGAAATATTTTGGAAATTATGAACTTTTTTTTACGCGCTGCTCTAGCTGTTAGCAACAACTGAACTACCATTTTTGGCACTTTTTGCCCCGTATCTTTAAAATGTGTCAAAGTTACTTCAGTACGAATCTAATGTTTTTTTAATTATTCAAATCGGTTGATGTATATTTGTATTCAAACACACACTCACCAGCCCCACATACACACATACATCCATTTTTTTCTAATGTATGCCAAAGTGGTCAGAAACCTATGAAACGCAAAAATATATAAAACTGTTCACTTTCGATTTTGTTTTGCGATTACTATACCCTATATAATATACTTACCATCGAGAATTAAACTATTTTGGATTACTTGGAAAAAAAAATTGAAGAAAACTTTGTTAGAAAATCTTGATTTTTTTATTACTATAAATTTAGAAAAAATTGAAAATATGTGAACTTTTTAATAAATAAGACTACTTAAGTAAAACAAGTTTTAACTAAAACTAAAATAAGTTTTAATATAAATTTTGTTTTTTATTGAATTGTTACTTTTGTATTTATATTTACAATGCATTGAACAAATTAATTTTATAAAAAGCAGTTATAGTAAAGAAGATCGATTTTATTATTAAATAGATATAATTGATGTTCAGAAAAAATCAATATATTTTGAAAAACAAAACAAAAATCGCATTTTTTACAATATTACAGAAACAACCTTAAAAATCGAAGTTATATTTCTTAATAAACATCTCGAAAACGGCTCAATGTTTGTCATCGTTAATAATTACAGTTGTAACTTACGTATTTTTAAGAATAACAAAGTTACATAATGGAAATATTCATGCGGCTTTGAATCAATTTATATCAATCTGTATCAATTTATATTTCTCTAGTTTTCAGATTGCAGTTGATGAAATTGAAATTAATTTTTGGAACTTCTATATGACAAATTGTAGAATTAGTTTAAAGCTTATATTAGTTTACAGACTCGTTAAAAATATTATTACTAAATAATATAAGTTGTACATTAAAGTTTGTTTCAAGACTCCCTATACTCATTTCACCATCACGTTGTGAAAGTGGGTAATTGCGGCTAAAAGTGTAACAAAAGGTATACGCATACTTTTTGATGAAGGCTTATATCATTTTAAAGGAGTTGTGCAATGAACAAAGCATAGAATTAAATCAGCCATGATCAGAGAAAATGTATTTACAGTCAAGTTCAAACTTAATTGGTTTTAAGTCTTTAGTTTCCAAATTGTTATTACCAAACTCAAGATCAAGATTATATACAGTGTAATCTTTGTAAAAAATGTACCCGTGAAATTTATATTTTGGATTGGTTGAGTAATCTAGCTGTTATTTTATCAAATCTCTTCAAAATTAAATATTAGACATGATTTTTAATCGAAATTTGCTATCATATAAAATAGAATTTAAAATAATTTGATTTGGCACAAAGGTCCAATTTGACTTTGAGAAATTCTGTTGTGAAAACCAACTATATCACAACAAATATAACATATCAAACAAACAACAACATCTGATTGTGTTCAGTAAAAT